GGTGTCACCCCCTCAGTGTCCCCCAGGTGCCCCGTGTCCCCTCCCACCCCCCCGGAGGGTGGTGACACCCCCATGGTGGGGGGGTGTGTGTCTCAGGGGGGTGTCCCCAGCCCCCCAGGTTGTCCCCCCGGTGTCCCCGTGTCCCCTCTCACCGGGGGTGCGGCTGCCGGGCACCTTCATGTAGAGCTGGACGGTGTTCATGCCCAGGATGGTGTGTCCCACGTGGCTCAGCATGTTCCCGGTGGAGGACACCCTCATGAAGGCCGGCAGCTTCAGCAGCTCCTGCAGCTGCGGCTTCCACCTGGGGGGCAGGAAGCCGTGGGGCAGGGGAAGCCGTGGGGCAGGGGAGCCGTGGGGCAGGGGAATCAGTGGGGCTGGAGAACCCATGGGGCTGGAGAACCCATGGGACGTGGCACCCGTGGGGCATCAACCATGGGGGGTGTCAACCATGGGAGGTGTCAACCACAGGTGGTGTTACTTGTGGGGCACGTAATTTGTGGGGCAGGGCACTTGTGGGGCAGGGAATCAGTGGGGCAGGGCATCCGTGGGGCTGGAGAACCCACGGGACCTGGCACCTGTGAGACATCAACCATGGGAGGTGTCAACCATGGGAGGTGTCAACCACACATGGTGTTACTTGTGGGGCACGTAATTTGTGGGGCAGGGCATCAGTGGGGCAGGGAATCAGTGGGGCTGGAGAACCCATGGGGCTGGAGAACCCCATGTCATTTGTGGGGATGAGACATCAACCATGGGGGGCATTAACCATGAGGGGTATCAACCATGGAAGGTGTCACTTGTGGGGCACGTCACCTATGGGGCAGGGCACTTGTGGGGCAGGGCACTTGTGGGGCAGGGAATCAGTGGGGCAGGGAACCTGTGGGGCTGGAGAACCCATGGGACCTGGCACCCGTGGGGCATCAACCATGGGGGGTGTCAACCATGTGGGGTGTCAACCACGGGAGGTGTCAACCACACGTGGTGTTACTTGTGGGGCACGTAATTTGTGGGGCAGGGAATCAGTGGGGCTGGAGAACCCGTGGGGCAGGGGAGCCGTGGGGCTGGAGAACCCATGGGACGTGGCACCCGTGGGGCATCAACCATGGGGGGTGTCAACCACGGGAGGTGTCAACCACGGGAGGCGTCAACCACAGGTGGTGTTACTTGTGGGGCATGTCATTTGTGGGGCAGGGCATCCATGGGGCTGGAGAACCCACGGGACGTGGCACCTGTGGGGCATCAACCATGGGAGGTGTCACCAATGGGGGGTGTCAACCACGGGAGGCGTCAACCACAGGTGGTGTGACGTTTGGGGCATGTCATTTGTGGGGCAGGGCATCCATGGGGCTGGAGAACCCACGGGACGTGGCACCTGTGGGGCATCAACCATGGGAGGTGTCACCAATGGGGGGTGTCAACCACGGGAGGCGTCAACCACAGGTGGTGTGACGTTTGGGGCATGTCATTTGTGGGGCAGGGCACTTGTGGGGCAGGGCATCCATGGGGCTGGAGAACCCACGGGACGTGGCACCCGTGGGGCATCAACCATGGGAGGTGTCAACCATGGGGGGTGTCAACCATGGAAGGTGTCACATGTGGGGCACGTCACATATGGGGCAGGGCACTTGTGGGGCAGGGCACTTGTGGGGCAGGGAATCAGTGGGGCAGGGAACCTGTGGGGCTGGAGAACCCATAGGACCTGGCACCTGTGGGGCATCACCCATGGGAGGTGTCAACCACACCATGGAAGGTGTCACATGTGGGGCACGTCACCTATGGGGCAGGGCACTTGTGGGGCAGGGAATCAGTGGGGCAGGGAATCAGTGGGGCTGGAGAACCCATGGGGCTGGAGAACCCATGGGACCTGGCACCCGTGGGGCATCAACCATAGGGGGTGTCAACCATGAGGGGTGTCCACCATGGGAGATGTCAGCCATGGGGGGTGTTACTTGTGGGGCATGTCATTTGTG